ACAGGATCGCAACCCTCGGTGTCGCGCCCGTACCGCGACCAGCAACAGGATCGCAACCCTCGGTGTTGCGTCCGCACTGCGCTCAACCAGTGAGCAGACCGGTCTGTATGTGGGATCCGAACCCTCGGCGGGAGCACCGCCGCGCTCCCAAGCGGTGCACTGTAGCAGTGCGCCACCGGGCCAGCCCCTCAAATAGTAGTTTTTAAGCAGACCAACAGCATCAGAAACTCTGCGGATGGGAACCAGCAGTCTGTGTCTAACAAGCCCTTCAGGAAGTTCTTGCCTGATGCTAGTTAGAGTTTGAGAACCACTGCTCTAAAACTCAAGAATTCTGTGTATTTTTTCCCACTTTACCCCCTTTTCCATAAATAGGATACAATGTAATACAGTTCTTTTTCTGATTTGCTACCTAGACATGGTAAAAATAAAAAAAAACAAAGTTTAAAATACAGGGAAAGGTCCAGGTATCTGTATACTATGTGCTCATAGGAAGCAGTCAGAACTTTGCAGCATGTGATAGTCCATTGTAGGCTGTCATTTGTCATTGCAGCACACAGTAAACATCCAGTGGGAGATGAGAAAGTTTAAAAAACAATTTTTTTTAAACCCAATAATGGTATCAACAGCTTTCTAATGCTTGCATAGCTCACATTTTACCAGTGAATCAGAGAATAGCTGATTGTATTATTTTGTCTGTCCAGTACGGTGACATGATGACATCGTTACTGTTTTTTGTGTTTTTAGAGTTTCTGGTCTCTGAGCACAGGTACAGCATTACCCAGTGACACTGCAGGGCTTGGCAGCACTGGGCTGACACCTGCCCACCCCCGGCACACACACAAAGTATAGAAGGTCACAGCAGGTAAAGGAATAAAGCTAATTTGCCAAGGAATGACATCACAGAGGCCCCCCCATGTTCCAGAGGACATTACATTCATATATAATACTCTCCACTTCTAAACTTCTTTAACTCAAAGTGTTCTGCTGCTAAAGATGAGCTATGCACATTAAGACTTGTTACTCTCTTGCTCAGAAACTTTTAGGATTAGGCAAAATTCTGCTTCCAGCATTAACAAATTCTTTTCCCTATCTTTTAAGTCCCACCACAAAATAACATCAGTAACCTTCACAGGCAAGTCTTCCTAAATGTGTCTTCGTGCATGGCAGGCACTGAGGTGCTGACTTGATTGGGAAAACTTCACCAGAGGTTTCATAGATCAGTAGTGGGTGGAACCTTAAGGTTGGGAGAGACCTTAGAGGCAACTAGTTCTACTCCTCACTAATTGATCAGCATTTTGGACTCCTAGCTGTTTGTAAGACATGCCCCAGGCTCGTATAACACATACTGAAATCTACCCCCCCACTGCCTCCTCACGTGGAGATACTATCAGGTGTAACTACCTCTTTCCCAGAGGCCTGAGCCAGTTCTCTGCCCTGTAAGCAATTCCCTTTGGTCTCTCTTGGCATTTACCTTCTTCTCTTTTATGCAGCTGCCATTCATTCACTGAGAAGACAATTACTGCACACCTGCCGGGTGCCAGACCCTGTGCTGAGCACGGGTGCATTCTGCCTACAAGTTCAGTAAGGTAAGAGCCAGTACACTAAGGTAAGAAAAAGAAATCATCCAGATTGGGAAGGAGGAAGTAAAGTTGTTTATTTGCAGAAAACATGAACATCTATGCATAAAATCTGGTGGGACCTACAAAAAAG